AGGTTTTCCACTCTTGAAAACGGTCAGATAATTTTTTCCCATTGTTATTACAGTAAATAGGCCTTTTGTGTGTATACATACCGTACATAAAAAAAGATTGAGTAAGTTGCATACGTAGTTTTTCCATGAATCTATAAATCCCAAAAAGAAAGGGTGGGGGAAGGTCCTGTGGTTCTTCCCCGGGAAAATTTTGATTCCTAGGTGGCGGAAAATGAGCTTTCCCGACTTCTGTGGTGTCTTTTAATGACTTTTAAATTCTTCAAAATTCAAGGTTCCCCCCCCCACCCTTGAAAATGATTCAATTAATCAATGAACTCCAAAGATAAAGGGGGTCCAAAGATAAAGGGGAGAAATTTCGATTTCTAGATGGCGGGAGATGAGCTTTCCTGACTTCTGAAATGTCTTTTAATGACTTTTAAAACTCTTCAAAATTCAAGGTTTTCCCCTCTTGAAATAGGTCAGGTAAATTTTTCTCATTTTTTATTTTATGTGTGTATACATACATAAATAAATTAGTAGTTGCATGCGTATTCTTTTTTCCATGAATCGATAAATCCCAAAAAGAAAAGGTGGTCTGAGGGTTACTTTTACTTAAATATCATTAAACCAATCAAGGCTTGATACATAGGCCTATATTCATTGTTTAATGTGGTAATATTCACGATATAGAATCACTAGGTTTGTCACTTTTATAAATGTTTTTGGGCATTCATATTGATATTCATATTGATATTGCAACATAAATTCATTTTATTGTATTGCAGTTCATCTTCTTTGACTTACAAGTATTTCCAACTAAGCCAGTTGTGACGTGTATTTTTGTGGTGTCCCGTATGACGATGAGGATAACCTCGCCTTCACTTGTACTAACATTAATGGGTTTAAGATAGGCGTAGCCTTTTATGCTCCATAAAATTGTTTTCCCATGAGCTATCGTGGAATATAATATGGCGAGCTCACTTTGTATTCGTATCCACAACAAACAAGGATGGATGATTGCCACAAGTGTTTTCGTATTGAATTTCTTTGTATTTGGTTTTGTGCATTCATATGGAATCATTTTAGTAGAGCTACAACGAGATTTTAACACTAGTGTTACAAAAGTTGGTAAGTACATTCGGATTTCCTGCCAAAGGAGTGAAGCAAATATGATATACAACTGATATAGACATGTATATATCAGATATATAGCAGTTGAAAGACAGCTGCTATACAGCTGGAAATATCAGTAATGTTAATTGATAAATCAAATACATGTACAGTTCTAGCAGTTGATGAAACATTATGCAATGAATGTTCAACTGCTCTAACTTTAAATATCAATGCTATTATTATAGTAGTGCTATTTAAGATTTTAAACTGCTCAAACCAGCTAAATCAGACCAATAGCAAATAATAAAAATATTTTTTTTAATAAATATTATTATACAAGTGTATTTTCTGTACTAAGATCACCAGATGTTGAAGGCGGACCAGTTATTGGCTTTTCAGTAGCTGGAAAAGCCATTGTTTTTGTTTTTGTTTTGATTTTTTTTTCATGACGTGTATAGCTGCCCAGGAAATTTACCCATTTCCTTATCGTTGACTGCTTATACGGAACTAATTGCTTTAGGATCTCAATTGAGTGGTTAATCTCTAATTCCAATGACAGCGTAGATAAAAGTAGTTCCAGTTCCAAAACATGTTGTTTGGGGCTTAAATTGTTACACACCAATGCACGCTACATCTTATAGCAAAAGTTACGTCCTGTATCTTATTTTATTTATTTATTTATTTATTTTTTTTTTTTTGTGAATTTTTCTTTAAACTTTATCTGGTAATATAATAATTTAATAATGAAAAATGGCATTGTGACAGTATGGTGATACTGTACTGTACAAGCTTTTAACAATATTAAATGTTTATATTATTATTATTATTATTATTAGTGTCGTTGTTGTTGTTTTTGTTGTATTTGTTGTTGTTTTTGTTGTTGTTTTTGTTGTTGTTTTTGTTTTTGTTGTTTAAGCATGGAGGTATATATTTTTAATGGTACCTTCATGGTTTAAAGGAATTAAATTTTGCTTAAGCTTTTCTTAATTTTTTGGTAAGTTTTCTCCCTATGAAATCATGTTTGCATACAATACTTTACTGCAGCAACTAAACCAAATGAAGCTATCCGCAAGGGAATCGAAATTGATCAAGCTAGTCCACCTCTTCAGAATAGACCGTGGGTTATAAGAAAAAAGATTAGATCCAACTGCTAAGGTTGGTACCTTTACAGAGCTGGTGAGCAGGAATGTGGTGGAAGAAGAATAGCAACTGATCCTGTGTGGAGTGTTGATACTTATAGTTTTCATTATTCTACAACCATTCCAGATCAACCCATGTTCTGTTATCTAACGATGAGCCCTACGAGATCGTTTGTTAGATAAGAACGGTTAATTGTACCGTTAATACTCAACTTCTTACAAAATCTTTTTTTCAAAAATGATTTAAAAAAAATATTAATATGACAAATTGAAATGGAACAAACTGAATGTAAATGGATGAAATGTGGTACATTTGAAACCTGTGGTAAAAAATAAATAAAAAAGTATTAAGAAATGGGACCTGCAATGAGAGTAGGCCTACATCGTTGGAAATTCGATAAAGGTAGTATTGTGAAAAATGTGGTATAGGGTGTAAGGCGAGATTACATTAATTTTGCTTGAAATTTGGTGAATAGTAAATCTTCAGCTATATGTTAACAAAATTAACGGAACCGCGGACCTAAAGCTTCACTTCACTCAGATTAACGCCATTCTAAGATATTTTAATGTAAAGTATAGTATATTAACATTTGCAAAGCTTATCACCGCTAGGTACGAAACGTGAAATAAAACCGGGTGGTGTTATAACGTTAGCCTGCGGACATTTCTGAACCCTTGAGTCAGAATTCAGATTGAGCCAGGCAAGCCCCTTAGAGAAGAACCCCAAGCTAGATGAAAATGTTCCCATAAGTTACCGATGAGCCAGAACCACCAATTTACATATTACTGCCCCTGGTAAGGGTGCAATGGTGAAGTCCCTTTAAACCTCTAGGACCTTCACTAATTTGATTTCGTATTGGTACATTCGTTTATTGAGAGATAATTGTTCTAATCTAATAGGCTATTTTCTTTTTTTTTAATTAAAATCTTGCAGGATCGATCGGTTCAATTGCATCGGCGACTATTAGTTTCATGACACCAATCTCCTGCCTTTTGTACGAGTTGACAACACATCGAATCGTTTCAGTGATCGGCGTCTTTCTCTGCTCACTGGGAGTCTTGTTATCATCGTTTGCGACAGATATTAGACTGCTCATACCAACGTTTAGCTTCATCTTTGGGTCCGGAGCCAATTTTCTTTACAATCCTTTGTTTAATCTTTTAAGCCTTTATTTTCCAGACAAACAGTCCACACGTGTCACGTCATTCGGCGCGTCCGGAGCGACTTTGGGTGCGTATGATTCTGTGCCATTATAGCTTCATGATTCGCCATAACTATCATAAAGCTCTATCAATAAATTCAAATCAAATTTACAGTTTACATTTTTACCAAGATCTTTATGCGTAATAGTAATAATAATAGGTCTAATTAATGATAATAATGATAATGAACATGATGATGATGTTAATCATAATCAAAATATGATGATGATGAGGAAGAGGAAGTTGTATCATGTCAATCATTGTCTAATTGTACAATAATTGTTCAATTTCTTGGCAAAAGTATGAACCGATTAATTATGAATTTAATTGTAATTATGTAATAGGCCTAATTTTTTAATCTTTAGTGAAATAGATTTGGATAATTCTAAAGCTTTTAATGACTATTTTAAAATCTTTTGTTTCTTCTCTGCTTCCAATGTCCATTGATTATCTTTTCTTTTTTGTGTGTGTGTGTGTGTACATTTTCTTGAAAACATACTGTAGCAGACACAACATAGTGAAAAGCTCTTAAATTGAGTCGATGGCTAAAATTTTATCCACAAAATATTCGTTTAAACATTGCCTTTGCCATGTTCCAATAGGCCTACAATTTTGCTAGGCCTCAAACTGTATAGTATTTTGAAATACTTCAACGCTTTCCTTTTAATAAATAGGTTCGCTGGTATTGAGTCCGCTGATGGTCCTTCTACTTTCTAAGCTGGAATGGAGGACTATATTCCAGGGCTACAGCGGCATCATTTTATTTATAGGACTAGCTTCCTGTATACCACTTTACCCACCCCCACAGGCGTGTACGTCATCCACAGAACCCACACAAAATGAAATAACGAACACAGACCAGAGAAGCGACAATAGATGTAATGCATTCATGAAGTACATGCGTATTCTAAAAACAATGGAATTTTGGTTTTTTATTCTTGGCATATTCTGTGGATCAAGTGCCGTTTTCTTTTACTTGTTTTATTTGGTAAGTAAACCATTCCGATTCCTAATACAAAAGAACATCTATTAAAGGTACCGACATTAAAATTAAAAGCCATATAAAACACCTAATACAAAAAGAACATGACAAAAGCAGACAACAAAGTAAAGCATCATTAAAATTGTAAAAAATACACTAAACCCTGAAAATCTATTTTGAGTGAAGCCCCGATTCTCCAAGACATTGCTAAACACTTTATATATAGGTGTAATAGTTTTAAATTTGGTATATACCGCCCTCTTTCTTCCCCACCCCATCTGACACTTCTGTCCCATCACCAGTAGCTACACAGTCATTCAATCACATGTTGTTGCTGAATCATAATCTTCATTATAATCGGAGAAAACGAATCAATAGTTTTTCCCTTTCAATCCATATATATAGATACAAGAATTAAACTTTACTTTCAAAGTTTTACACACAAAATGTAAACACAGATAATAGTAAATGAATAACTTATAGCGCTTTGTTGGGCACCGGTTCTCAGGCGGCTACCGTTTTCGAAATAGTCTTCAAAGACAACTTGGCCAGCAACGGTACAACACTCTACCCATTAAATGATTGATTGTGCTTCGTATCAGCTGGTGGACAATCTATTCTGTTCTTAAAATATATTGAAGTTCATCATTTTACCAAAACTAAAAGGAACAGAGGATATCACCCTGACACCAACTACAACGAGAATATCAGTACTTATCGGTACTAATACCATACAACAATATCGTGAACATTTCCAAGAGAAGTATGGAAAGTGTGTTATCCAGAAACGCAACTTACCCACCGCCTGGAACATGGCAATAAGATATCTTGCGGCATGTGACTCGCTTTTCAATAAGGATGTGACGATACGTATTTCATTGGGGATCACCAAACAGCATGTATCGGCAGTACCGTGAGGTCGAAATCAGATGTTGGGAATTATTCAGGCTTTGTTAAACCAACACAGAAAGGTAACGTTCCAGCCGGCGTTGAAATTGTGCGTAGTCTAATAACTGTCAAAGCGAAAAGAAGAAAGAGCCACATGCCAGTGCCAATCACTAACACCTCCGATCGGCTTATAATCATTCATTCAAGGACTGTATTATGTGAGGTACATCATGCTACGTGGGTAGGCTCGCATGAGTCCCAACTAACCAGCAACCAAAACACCAAGTCAAGTCTCTTCTTTCTTTGTGAGAGGTTTTCGCACAACACGAACACGACCTTGGACGAGTGACTGCGTGAAACACAAGGTACACATGACAGATGATACACCATTCAAACAAAGACTCAGACGAATTGCACCAGCACAATACGATAAAGTTCGACAACATCTCAAAGATATGCTCGACGCTGGTGCCATTCGGGAGTCCCACAGCCCGCACGCATCTCCAATCGTGCTTGTTCGGAAAAACTCTCTTCAATTGAACCGCAAAACAATAAAGGACAATATTTCATTGCCACAATCGAGGAAACCCTGGACGCACTTAACGGAGCCAAGTGGTTCTCCTCGTTGGACTTGAAGTCGATGTATTGGCAGATAGGAAGCTGACAAAGCAAATAACGCATTCACCACACTATTGCGGTTCTACGAGTGCAATCGAGTGCCCTTCGGCCTGACCAATGCCCCGGCGACATTCCAACGATTGATGGAGATGTGTATTTGCCAATCTCACACATTTTGCTTTCCCATTGTTGAGTCTACAAGTACATCGTCAGATGCCGTTCCGGACACACTACTAAATCCAGTGCCATGGCCCGACTCGGAGGCATTCCCGAAAATAGCTATGAAAGAATGGTGTCGTCTGCAGGAAAAAGATCCCATTATCAGTGCCACAATAAAGTTGAAACTGATGGGAAAGCGACCATCTCACAAAGGCAGAAAGCAGATGGCACCTGAAGTGGTGATGCTGTTACGGGAATGGGACCAACTACAAATCAAGGAGAAAACTCTTCATCGTGTCAGACAAGATGGTGAAACTAATTACCAGTTAGTAGTTTCGGGAAAATATCGAGAACGGACAATGGCTGGTGTACACGACGAAGTCGGACATCCAGGAAGAGACAGGACTCTTGAACTTGCCAGTTGTCAATTTTATTGGCCCAATATGGCATCTGATGTTGCCGACAGAATAAAAAGGTGTGAGCGATGTACTCGTCGTAAATTACCTCCAGAGGCCCACTGTGTAGCGCCTTTGGTTTCGATTGTCAGCCACAAACAAATGGAAGTTGTATGCGTCGACTACTTGACACTTGAATCATCTGCCGGAGGGATCGAGAATTTTCTCGTAATTACTGACCATTTCTCCCAAGTATGCATTTCTTTTCCCACTTGAAATCAGACAGCTAAAACGACAGCCAAAACACTATTTGATAATTTCTTTATTCACTACGGTTATCCTACTCGTCTATATTCAGACCAATTTGCGAAACTTCGACGGTGCTGTTATCCTGGAACTGTGCAAGCTGTTATCTATCACAAAAAGTCGTACGACACTTTACCATCCAGCAGGGAATGGATTGTGCGAGCGATACAACAGAACTTTACTGGACATGCTCGGGACACTTCCTATGGAAAAGAAAGTGCATTGGAAAGACTTTTTTGGCCCGCTAACGCTTGCATACAACTGCACGAAACAAAGTTCCACAGGTTATTCACCGTATCTTTTAATGTTTGGACGCAATCCAAGATTGCCAGTTGACGGGTGTCTAGGTCTCACACAGTACAGAGTTTCCGAGAAAAAAACCATATTACATGTGTTTCTGATCTTCGAAAAAGATTAATGTATGCATATAGCAAGGCTTCAGCTAACGCAAAGAAGGCGGTGGCAAAATCTAAGGAACACTTTGACCAATCTGCAAGAGAAAACACCCTTGAGGCTGGTGATCGAGTTTTAGTAAAGAAAGTGGCCTTTCATGGGAAACACAAATTGGCAGACAGATAAGAACAGCAGATTCACGTTGTGGTAAGAAAGATATCCCCCTAACTGGCAGTTTATGAATTGCGACCAGAGAACGGAGGAAAATGCCGGACACTTCATCGAAACATGCTACGTCCCAGTAATCATCTACCCATGGAAGCAGAACAACCGGAAGCAAAACAACCAAATCTGCAGACACGTGTCCGCTACGAAAGTCTAAGAGAAACAAGGAAACGCAGACCCAACAAAATAGTGACGATAGTGATAGTGATGAAATGCATACTGCCACAACATATCAACTCAGAGCGACAGCACCAGCATTTATACCGCTTTCTGGCTCACAACCTATCACACAGGCCGTTTAGCCTTCATAGCAGCTCTGTATATTGAATGACTGTTACATAGTCTAACTATTGCCGTATAATTTCAGAACATGTTGGGAGCAACATTTTGAAAGCAGGGGAGAGTGTAATAGTCTTAAATTTGGTATATACCGCCCTCTTTCTTTACCACCCCATCTGACACTTCCTGTCCCATCACCAGTAGCAACACAGTCATTCAATCACATCTTGTTGCTGAATTATAATATTCATTATCATGTGAGAAAACTAATCAATAGTTTTCCCTTTCAATCCATTTAAACAGATACAAGAATTAAAGTTTACTTTCAAAGTTTTACAAGTTGAGCGAAGTCAGTTTTACTTTAGTGTGCAACAACGCGAATACAAACCCCCACGGTACATACCGTAT